TGGCATTGTTTTAGGATTAAGTGCTATGTGATGTCCCAGAAAGCTCCACTAGATAGGCTTTGTTAATTCTAATATCAGTCCTTAATATCTTAGATCAGCAGACTTTTACTTGATATTATTCAAAATTCTTGATTACTGCCCACATTTGCTCCGTTCAGAAGCATTTTTTTCTTTCCAGTTTAAATGTTACTTCATAAAAGTGGAATTTGATGAAAGAATCTTACAGTTACTGCTATGCCAATAAAATGTCTAATTGGTTTAACCTTTTTTTTTTCAGCAACATTGCACAGTATATCTGGGGGCCTGGAACACAGTAACTTTTAAATTTTGATTTATGACTAAATTTAATGAAGTATTATTTGCACAAAGCAACTATGTTTTATGCAAACGTGAATCAAGCTGCTATATTTTTTACGATGCATGTTAGCAGTTTCTGTTTTTTTTTTGTTCACTACAAAGTATTTGTTCCTATCTCTACAAATTTATATACATGGTAACATTTTGTTTTGTTATGCAATTTTTTCCTTTAGAACCAGTGCGGAAGTCTTCTGCAGAAGTTAGAGCCAACCACATGTCTGGAGCCTTTGCCAATGGGCATCTCCATTTAAAGCGTTTGGTTAATTGGCTTATACTCCTCTTATTGTTGACCTGCAGTTATTCGTCCAACAGCCCTGATGTTGAAGGTATATAAATTTTAGCTTTTATCAAATTGAACAATGATAAGGGATGATCCATGAATACACTATATGGCATTAACCTTTTAAAGCTTGTTTGGTAAATTTCTACTTATTCAATCCATTCACTGCCATGATTTAGTGATAAGTTGTGATGATTTATTTGGCAAACGTATGGAATTCAACCATGCATTGAAGACTTGTATCCCAAGTTTCTGTAGACATCGATAGGCACATAAAAGGGGGGCATATGTGCACCGATTTCTATTATTTTCTGCCACCATTTGACAGTGTTCTTGCAACTATGACAGTTCTTCATTTATTTCAACCAAAACAAAAAGAAAACTACTTTCTTGAGAAAACCAAAAAAGAAAACAAGGAAAAGGAAAATTGCTAGTTCGACAACCTAATAAAATATGCAAACCCAAGCATTGGTTGTCGCGAATTAATATATATACTCGGAAGTTCGTGGTTGTGCCATAAGAAATTGGGAAAACTCAAAACACAAGGAAAAATAAAAGAAAAAATTCTTTGTAAATTGTTGTAGAGATTTGTTTAATCAAGAGAACATAAATTGAGTGATTAAAAACAGTAATTTGAAATACTAAAGTATTGGGATTTTCTTTCAAATCCATGCGACAATTAGTGATCCATTTTCGAATACAATTGAAAATCAGCTCGAGTAGTGATTTTAATGAGAATATTTAGCGGTGAGAATATGAGAAAATCAAAAGTATAATTAATAACTTAGTTGAATAAATTTAAGAATTTACTTGTAAATCAAAAGCATTCACCATGCTCAGAATTTAGGAAGCATGGACACTTCATTTTGGACAGAGTGTCGGTGTCGGACATGTTTGGGACACGGACACACTTTAGATACGCTCGGACACGTGTCAGACACGTTAAAATGAGTGTCCGATTTTTTATTATTAAATTTTTTTAGGACACGTTTTGAGATTTATTTTCAATTTTTTTTGAGAACTTTTCAAATAATTTTATAATCAAAAGTTATTTTTATAATTTTAAAGGGATATGAGTCACAATCATAATATAAAAAAAGTTATAATCATTACATTGAACATAAGACATGAATTTGGATATGAATACGAACTTCTATACAAATGACATACTCTTTTAATGTGAAAGTAATGTGAGAAAAATGAGATTACAAAATTGGAGCTCTTGGAATTTGATGAAAGTTAGTATTACGAAATAGAATATTTTTTAAAGTAAAAGTTGTAGAAATAATTAATTATTGAATTATGGATGTTAATGTTGAATGTGTATCAGTATATCTTATACTATTCTTTTCATGCAATGATATCATGATGTAAATTTTTAGAATTAGGAAAATAATGAATTAAAAGATTATTATGCTAATATTTTTATTTTATCACATTATTTTATATATATATATATATATATATATATAAAATACATATTATTTAACGTATCACTATTGTGTCCATGCCCTACTTTTTTGAAAAATTTTGTATTTGCGTGTACGTGTCGCGTCGTATCCGTGTCCCGTATCTGTGTCCGTGCTTCTTAGCTCAGAATCTATAATAAATCAAAACTTTCAACCGGGAAACCCTATTTTATAATAAATAAGAAATTAACTATTTTTATGAAAAACTCTAATTAATTAATTCAAGTATGTAATAACTAGTTATTTGACTTATAGGGAATCTCAAACATTCAATATACATGATACACTGAATTAAGAAATTATATAGGGCAAAAACTTTATTAAAAGACAAGAATTAAGTTAAAACAAAAGTAAATCAAACATTAAAAGAATATTGAATAAAAAATTATATGTTGTTTCTTTTAAAGTATCTCTCCTAACTTTAGTTGGGGATTTAGCAATCTATAAGTAAAATAAAACAAAAACTAAGAAGAGGGATTAAGAGCTGAATGAATACAAGGCAAGACCTATATCTCTTTATATAGGTTTTAGGAAGCAAAAACTTAATTGATTTAAAAAAATTAGGATTATTGGTTGAACTTTGTCATCGCGTTCAGATGCATGTTTCCTACCATCCGAACTTATGTAGAAATCTTGGCCTCTCTGCCCATCACGTTCAGACCCGTGGTTTAGACTGTCCAAACACACTTAGGAGTGTATTTTTCTTGTTCTCTATAGAACTACCGTTCGTAGGCGCCTTGTTCCCCGTATTAGCCAAAATACTTCTTTTTGCCTCCTTGATAATTTGAACCTCTCTATTCTTTGTGCTTTGTCTTTCAAAATCATTAATTCATCTAATTTACGTCGAAAATTTCTCAAACACTACAAAAAGAAGATAATATCCAAACCTAATCAATTTAACACAATTAATGCCTTGTCCAATGTAATTAGCCAATAATTCATATCAAAATCATGCAATTTTCATGGCTAATCAGCTAGGTTCCAAGACCTGGCAATGCAATTACATTTTGTGCAAAATCTTTTTGCTAGTGATTGGTTTTGGGGCAAAAGTATACCACGATGCAATTTATTTTAATTGCATGAGTCCGAAGTCTTTCATGTGTGAAAATATGTTTTTTATCTGCACCTAAGAGATACAAATATGGATACATACAATATGGACACGAGGACACAGGATGTGGAGGACACTTTACAAATAATTATGTGTATATAGTAGATTGTATATTTTTTCACAAACATAGAGATAATTATGGCAGTATTCGTAAAAAATTCAATGCCTCATAACTAGTAAAATTTGTGTCCAGTAAACTATGCATTGTTAGACAATTGGATCATAGTAGTCCATAATCATCGTTTTTTATAGACAATGTACAGTAAAAATCCAAAATCATAATGATTGTTGTCATCTTCTTTAGCACAACATTTATGCGTCGGCAACAAAATTAGATTGAACAATTTTATATTCTGTCATAGTATGAGATAGTTGTTTGCACAGTTTTTAAGTGTTGTTAATTACAGTCAAGGATCAAAATTTCATTTCGATGGATTGTTTCGGTCACCTGGGAAATAGAAACATTTCGACGTGTTTCAGAAATGTTTCGTCCCATTTTGGAAATAGAATAAAAAATAAAAAAATTAAGAATTAATTTTTCACAACATTGGTCTAAATATACTAAAGTATCTTAAAATACTTTGAAACATTCCTAAACAATTGTGTAAATGTATTAAAATATTACAAAACACCTTGAAACACCTCAAAACTTTATGAATCACCTTGAAGAATTAAAATTTCGATTCTATCACTAATTCATTTTGGTCTCCTTAAAAATGAAAACGTTTCGGACGTTTCGACCATTTTGAAACGAAATTTTGATCATTGATTATAGTTTAACACTTGTTAATATTTTAGTAGTAGATGCGATGCGACCTAAAGATATATCGAATGCATCACCAAAGGAGTGTTAGACTCGTTCAATATTAAAATTTATCTTTTAATTATGGACACAATAAAAGAATATCAGACACGTGTTAGAGAAGTATCGACCTTTCTGTGAAGTGCCAACACAATCCCACATTGATCATGCTCTTATGTAAATTTGAACTTATATTTTGCTAGGAAAAGAGTTGAACTAGAAAGAGCCTAATTCACCAAAAAAAAAAAAAAAAAAAAGCTTTGCTATATTCTGGCTCCCTTTGAGCTATGAAGTTGAAAACAATCAAAACATAGACTAAATTATGCAAAGAAGTAGAAGACAAAGAGGCAAGAAAAATATCACTAGCTGCACAGAAGAAAAATAAGTACAAGAGAGAATATAAAACCCTACAATAACAACAATACCAAACTACCTTTAATTAGATATAATATAATCTTAACACCTTTCGAAAATTAGGATGTGATCATATGAACCATCGAGAATTTGTCGAGAAGAAAACGAAAATGCAGAATAGTGTAAGATTTCGTGAAGAAAGTAGACAATTGTGTAGCGGAAGAAACATAGGCAGGAAAATAGACCCAAGCAGAAGGCAATGATGCAGAAAAATGACAACAAATCTTGATGTGCTTGGTTCGCTCATGAAAAGCAAATTTGTGTGCCATTCGTTTTATTACAATACATAGGAGGGGAAGCAGAAAATGAAATTGTTAGATTTGCAAGCAACCATCTCAAGCAAATTATATTTGACGTATTTGTAGCCCTACAATGATATTTAGTGTTAGTCCAAGCAAATGACTAAAATCATTTGTAGGCCAGGAAAAGAACTTCCACATAAAAACTCTAAACATCTGAAACTTGGTGTCCCGCTTAGGGGACGAGATACATTACTGCAACGAATGACTTTCTATAAGATTGCATCTTTCTCTGAAGGATGGGTTTTTATCTCTGCTAATGTTTCAGGAGAAGCATTGGTTGAGTTACTAAGGGCTCTAAATGATTCCAGTAATCGAATTAAAGATTGGAATGACTTTTTGGTGAGCCCTTGTGTTAGTTGGTCTCATGTTACTTGCAGAAACGGAAATGTCATATCCTTGTAAGTGCTTCATCTTATAGGGTAGATTTGTATTTTCATAAATTTATTATTCCTTTTCTTTTCTGGTAACTGGCACGATACGCATATGTATTCCCACCCTTGGTGTATTGAAGTAGGTTCTGTGGTTTAATTTGTGGGTGGTTGGCAGTGCATTGAGTTTGTTAATGTACTAATTACAGGAGCCTAGCTTCGATTGGATTTTCAGGAACTCTTTCATCGTCAATTACCAAACTAAAGTATTTGGTTAGCTTGTAAGTTTTACACTTGATTAATATTGCGCTTTATTGCCCCCTCCTGCTTGTTTTTCAGCCTTCTTCTTGTCATTGTAGTTAATTCAACATATTGAATTACTCCTAATGTATAAATTCATTGGTCGTCATTATGCAAGATTGAGCCACATTTGATCTTTTTATTATTAAGTAGATGTTTTCACCTAGTATCTCTTAGCCCATGAAACTCTTGGCAAAATTTCACTCCTAAATGTGTACAGCTTGAAAAAAATAAAGAAAGAAGGGTAGAAAAACAGAGCTGGTTGTGCTATTGCTAAACTGATTTGTAGATACTTGTTTTTCTTTCTTCATATTTGATCAATTTCCGAAAAATAGGAGACCAAAGATATGAAAAAGATTGTCTTCTTTTTACTTTTGTTTATTTTGTAAATATGGTGTTCTAATGTGCTTTAGCTGACTAACAAATTCAATTTATAACTTTTAATTTAGCCATGATGTGGCTTATCTCTTTTTTCAATGTCTTTGAGCACCTAACTAAATTTGTGATTATGAAGAGAGATTCAGATGTTCTTAATTCAATGCAGGGACTTGCAAAATAATAATCTATCTGGTGTTGTACCTGATTATCTGGGCAGCTTGTTACACCTGCAAAATCTCAACATCGCACACAATAAATTTAATGGCACTATACCAACCACTTGGGGTCAACTTTCAAACCTGAAGCATTTGTAAGTTTGCTTCCATTCTTATTTAACCCCCATCTCCTTCCCTTTGGGGCTTTTTGGAAAAAATGTTTTCATTGTTTCTGATTCTGAGGTAGCATAGATAATGGCATCTTTTTTTCCCAGTTTAGTTACTTCTTGTACTGAAGCAATGATATCGCCTTATTCATCAGGGTGATGAAAGGAAACAAATTAAGTGGAACGATTCCTGATTCACTTGCAAATATTACAGGATTAAGTGAACTGTAAGGAATCTCATCCTCCTCTTTAACTGCTTTTTGTCATTATTATCTTCTGTTCCATCTTCACTCTTATGCACATGATGCCCATGTTATACTGCTTATGACTTTTTCTGTTCACAGGGATCTGTCATCCAACAATTTGACTGGGAAAATACCGACAAAATTGTTCTCGATACCCCTATTCAAGTAATTCATTACATATTCCATGTTCTTCAACCTTCTATGCTCTTAAAAGATTTGTTTTGCCCCTTTGAAAATTGGTCATTTATCAATGGTTGCTTCTAGTGGCATAAATTTGTTCTTGTATATGTGGTTCACTTGAAGCATTCAATTGAATGGAGACCTAGTTTAATTTGTTTTAACTCTCACTCCACAAACAAATTAGTATTGTTTTTACTTGACCCATGGTTGCCTCTTGCTATTTTTTGATGGACTGATTCTGCTTCGCCCCTTGCCAGTGTCTTGATGCATGATGCTGTGGATAATGTCCTAATTTTGCTTTGTTTAGATCTACGAAGTACGGACACTTCATTTTAGTCAGAGTGTTGGTGTTGGACATGTTTTGGACATGACAAAATGAGCGTTCAATTTTTTATTGTTAACTATTTTCAGGACACACAGGGGACTCGCTTTAGAACACGTTTTTAGATTTTTTTTTTTTCAAATTTTTGAAAACATGTCTAATAACTTTATAATTAAGGAATTTATTTTTATATTTTAAAGAAATATGAGTCAAATGCATAATGTAGAGAGAGCTATAATCACTACATGCACATTGGATATGGATATAACATAATTTCGGACACTATTGTAGAATTATATACAAATGGAATAAACTTTGAATATGAAAGCAATGTAATGAAAAATAGGTTTATGAAATTAGGGTTCCCTAAAATTGATGAAAATTAGAGTTACAATTTGGGATATTTTTGAAAATGAAAATTATAGTATTCATTGATTGTTGGATCATGAATATTTAAGATAAGTGTATATAAGAATATGTGATATTGTATTTTTAATTCGATGATAATAAATACGTAATATTTAACATGTCCCACAACATATGTGTGTCCTTCTTTTTTGAAAACTTACGTATTTGCATACGTGCTTCTTAGGTTCAAATGTTAGACCTTCAGTCTATCATTCCTTCTGTATGCGAATTGGGTTAGTTCTGATTATAATCTCCTTTTTAATCAGAATTTGAACTAAGTTATCACAATTTTTCTGGTAAGTGTTGGATTTTTTATTCAGGAAAATTGTGTTCAATCTCAACCAAATTGATACAGGTCAGTTCACTCACTGTAAAGTAAAGTCACAAGGAGGAAATTAAATATCAACTGTGTATTGTAACATTAAAGTCTTTGTGATGCAACCACTTATGAAAGTTGGAGCTAAATGCTCGTTTTATTAATGATCAATGGCAAATCTACGAGAAGATGTGAAAGCAAGATGCAGAAAATAATAGGAGAAACTGGGGAAAAAAAACTTAAAAAGGCTAGAAATGGACTGTGGAGATGCTTTCGTTTCTGAAAATAGGAGCTAAATAGGTTGTTGCCCTTGACCTTTCATATAGCCTTATAGAATCTACTAGATAGCATACTACTTAAAATCTGACAGTTAAATACTTTACTTCTCAGCCCTGCAATTGCACACAAGAAAGCCACTCACTTAACGAGACACTAATGAACATATATAAACTATAAAGCAATATGGAACAAGACAAAACACCGTAGAGCAGCACTCCATGAAGCTGCATTGGCACATCTAGGTTTCAGCTTAGAATGAGGGTATCTAGAGTACTTTAGATAGTCGCAGTACTATAAAAACTTGCTGGAAATTAATGCAACTGTATCACTTCCATTTAGAGGCGCAGTGCAGCGCAAGTTGTTTGGTGCCAATATGTTGATTTCTTGATCTTGTGGTTTGAGGTGCACAAATAATTCCAAAAACGCTGCAAAAAGGGATAATAACAATTCTCTAATGGTATTAAACTCTGTTGACCCTTTTTCCAAATGTTTTATGCTTAACATTACCTTATAAAATAGAGAGGGCGGATCTTGTTGCATTGCACATGTCAGACCCTCCTTAAACCCTGCTCTGGGGGTGGCGTCGTGCATTTGGCTTCCCTTTTCAGTCTTTTATTTGTCTGATAACTAATTCATGGATTGCAGAAGCTTATAAATACCATTGACTCTCCATTTTTAGGCACACTAATTTTGGATAATGCTGATTGAATTCGGCAATCACCGTCTTATGTTGATGGCTTCCCACGATGAGACATGTCAGATTTTAGCAGAGTCAATGATACTAAGCATGATGAAATCCATCTACCGAATTTTTTTAGAATATCATTGTGATTTTAAAATGGGGAAATATTGAGGAAGTTGTGATTGTTGTGTGCTAAATGTCAAACTTGATCTCAGTGGGTTATAACTGTTGAGAGCAAGGGCTTGAAGTGCATGACATACTCACCCGGAAGAAGAAAACTGTGAAAAAGGGCTATCAGAGAGGAACTTTGCTGAGTTTGATCATTCACAATGATGGTACATTCATTATGAACTGAAAATTTGTTAAATAAATGGAGGTAAACTGTTGATTTAACACTGTACTAATACTCGTCATGATAAAGTAGCATCAACTTCTTTTTCTATCTTTTGTTCTTCCGCTACTTGTCCTCCCCTTGTAACACAACAGAAAGGTAGATGATCTGGAGGGCATGTAAATGATTATTGAGTGAATGTTTCTTATGCTGGTGGTAAGTTTGATACATTAATATGACCAAGTATCTCAATTGCAATAGTGACGGCAGTCAACCCGAAGTGATCTAGATTTTGGTCGCTGCTTTATCTTATGCGTTTCGTACATCAGTTTTACAGGAACTCATCTTACTTGTGGCACCAGCTTGCAGGAACCTTGCATTCCAAATTCCTCAATTCCAGGTTCAGCCTTTTTCAATGTTGCGTTCCTCTGGTTCCTATCAATGTGATCTCTAATCTATGAGAGGACTAATTTTTCAATACTGTTGCAGTTTCAAGCAGAAAATCGAAACTTGAAGTTATTGTGACTGGTGCAAGCTGTAGTGCCTTCATTCTTCTGATGCTTGGGGCTGTCTTTGCATATCGTTTCTGCAAAGTGCATAGATGCAAACATGATCAATTTTTTGATGTGGCAGGTATGCCTTGCTTCTCTTTTATTGTATTTCCATGAAAGGTAGATGTTAGCCTTTACTTTTCATATGCAGTGTGACATCAAAATCTACTTTTTTATCTCTATGTAACTTCTGCCACTAAGTCATTAACACTTACAAAAATGATCCCAAATAGCCATAAAGAATTGGAAAAGTTGTTCCATGTACTTATTAAGGTGAACCTCTAAATGTGGCTATCTACAATCTATATTTGAATACGTAAAACTCTGTCAAAGTGACTGCCAATAGTTTTGTCCATTTGACCATGGTTTTGATAAATTGATATAATTGTTACCAAATTCACAATCTAAATGCGAATCTGAAGAAATCCAAACCGTGGTCCCAATCTAAGACTGTTTTAGTTAGACATATGTCTGTACATGTACATATACACTCACATTAGCAATAAGAAGTTACAATTATGCATTTTACAAACTGCCAACTTGATCGGAATGCACACCATCAGATTGGGGGTTCATTGATTCTTTTTGTGACAGCGTTTGAAACTTGAATATTAGGGTTTATGAAAAGAAAGAGAATGAGAATAAGAGAGAAAGAGAGATTGTGGAACAAGATTGAGGATGATGTGTGTTGTCAAAACCCTATCACCTAGCCAAGGATCAAAATATCGTTTTAAAACGGTTGACACGTCCGAAACGTTTTCGTTTCCATGGAGATCGAAATGAATCAGTGATGGAATCGAAATTTTGATGATTTGAGGTGTTCCATGATGTTTCAAAATGTTGTTATATTTCAATATGTTTGCACAATTATTTCGGAATGTTTTAAAATATTTCAAGATATTTTAGTATATTTCGATCAATGTTTTGAAAAAAAAATTCTTAGATTTTTTATTTTTTTCATTCTATT